GTCAGTGATGAGATTGTGCACTTCCAAATTGCGCAATGGAGGCATCAAGGACCCCCCATGACAATCTGGTCGAGCTGAACATTCGGCGCTCTTATGATGTTGACCGTCTACGGGCAATCTGAATGATGGACCAGTGGCGAAAAATATTGCGCGCATGTCTGAAGCGTTGGTGGAGTATCCATGGTTCCTGCGGAGGCGAAAAAAAAGAGAAAAAAAAAACCAGCGTGAGTGAGAATTCTTGCTGCACCTGCTCAAACGAAAAGGAGCAGGACGTACCCTCGAGGGTCGTAGACGCCATCGCTAAAGCCAGACATCTCCTTTCGTGATGTAATGGCCCAGCCATTTGCAGGCACAATCCAGAGTTTGGCCATTCGCCGTTCAAGGATCAACCGACGACGATTGGTGAGTTCGTCTGCTGCGGGGGTGCCCCTGACAGACATCGAAGGCCCAAAAGCTAGCCAGTCCCACATCCGAAGTAGATTGTCTCTGTCAACCACTTCAAAGGCGCTGCCATTGCCGATGCGTCTTTGGGCTAGCTCCAAGATTGCGGTCGCCTCTGTTTCTGCGCTCACGTTGCTGAAATGCAGGCCCACGTGCGGCCAGCCATCTTGGTGAGTGATGCGGTCGTAGAGATCTTCTCCTAAAACTTCGTCGAGGTAGACCAAGCGCTCATTCGAAGTTGTAGTCATCCCGTGGTCTGACACGATCACTACGTCGATCAGGTCTGTAGCATTGATCCGGTCTATAGACCCAAGTAGCGAAGTCAGAAATCCGTCGACTCGCTCGAAAGCGTCGGCTACCACGTCGATGCGGGCATCGGGCCCTTTGCGATGTGTGATAGCGTCGATGTCCGGCACGTATGCTGCGCAAGACCGACAGCAAGAGGTTAATTCGGGGACAGGAGGATGGCATGAGCGTCACAAGACGCACCGCACATCAGCTCTGGTCGTTCCTTGGTCGGCAAATAGAGCCATTCGAGAATCTTATCAAGACGCCGTTCAGGTGTCCAACCCTTTTCGTACTTCTGGAACAAATCAGGAGAGACGCCATCACGCGTCACGGGCGGACCTGGCCACATCAAGACGGCCGCTCTTCTTCCCGCATTCTGTACGACTTCCCAGATCGGACTGCCGTACCACCAAGCTCCATCCCACGACTGCTCAGGTCGAGTGTAGTAGAATCGCCGAGGCAAGTACGGAGCATTGCGAGGAGCAGATTCTTCTTCGATAAGATGAAAGTCATTAGCAACAATGCCGTGCGACAGAGGTGTCAGGCCCGTCAAGATCGACCAGTGATTGGGGAATGTCAGACTCGGCATGACGGGCAGCATGTACTCGGCCAGAAGAGCTCTACCAGAGGCGTGCATTCTCGACAGCGTGGGAAGCAGCGACCTGGTAGTCGGGGACACCTCATCCCCGTCTGGCAAGGCTGGACTGCTAATGCCGCCATTCGAGGGTGTGATATAATCTGGCCGCACTCCATCAAGAGAAAGAAGGAGGACTGTGCGATGCCAAGGATGAGA